AAAATTAAAAGAAAATAAAAAGAGATAGGAAGAAATTTAAAGAATACAGCAGTTCCCAACAGATGCACACTGAAATCACTGAGGAATCTAAAAAATATTGATGATAGGCTCCCACTCCAAGACCTTCTGATGTAACAGGTAGAAGGTGTAATCTTGTCAGTAGTGTATTTATAAGTTTTCTAGGTGTTTCAGATGTGTAGCCAAGTTTGGGAACTAAAGTCCTTGGGGCTATGAGGAGCTAAATGCGAAACAGAAACCACAGAGCCTTTCAGAATTTCAGCTTTGAAGGCTGTATGTCTGACTGGATTTAATAGAACTGAAAGCTTACAAGGTCTTATCGTTGTGATTGAGGCTTACCTGACTGGTTGGAATCTGGCCTGATTCTGGATCATAGAATTCTATTAAGGAGTTGATAAAATTTTCTGCTCTGTGTATGCTTATATTTTCCCTTTGAATTCTATAGAATTTCACAAGGGCCAATGGATTTTTTAAAATGAAAATTTTAGTGCTGTATGTCTTAAATCACTAAAGAGCCTGGAGTGGTAGCAATGGGCTTTGGTATTGGACTTTGATTATTTTTGTTTTAAACAAAGCAATCACTTACAAATACAGCAGGAAAGTAGTGCTTCCTTTTTAACTCCATTCTTAAGTTGTGGCATCCTCGTCTGTCCCACCTCTAACAGATGTTCCCAGGAAAGAGCTCCTCAACTTTAGGGGACTTTGCCAAATAATATTCTTGCATAAAGGAATGGTTTCTAATCACCAGTGATGGATGTAAGATTTTCCTGTGATGCTTTCAAGACAAATGGATTAGGTATAATAAAGCTGCCTATACTTATTAAAAATTAAAGGATGGAAGGTAAAGGAATTTTTGGCAGCTTTAATATAAGTGGATTAGATAATTCAAGACTAACCTCAAGTTAATTAACTGTCTTTGAATGCTAGATGGCAATGTGGATACTGCAAAAAGATCAAAGTAATGAATGCAGGACCGAAGGTAGGATTCAGTGGTAGAGTGCTTGTGTAGTATGCATAAGACCCTGGGTTGGTCCCCAGCACGTCAGAAAAAACAACAACAACAACAACAAAAACAAGAAATGAAAACCGAACTTCACTTTTCTCTTTAAAATGAATTTTAGGCCAACTTGCTGAATAGGAAAAAGTATCATATGTGTTATTCTGTAGGTATGATTTACTTTTTTATATTAGAGAAAAGCAAAATGAGTCTGAGATGAAAGTAAATCAGGATGGACAATTCAAAATCTTTTTAAAATGATGAAAAGTCATTTCATGTTGGCATGGTTTTTGTATTGTGGGTATCCTGGGGAAGGATAGGAGTTCTGGGGAAAAATAAGTGTGGGCTAATGAGTTGGATAAACAAGAAGTCCGGAATTGTTTTAACCACATCTGCAATACATATCAATTTCTAGGAGAGCCCAAGAAAGTGTGTGGGCTAGGAAGATCCTGGCCTATGACAAATTGGGTGGAATTTTCAGGTGGATGTGATGCTGAATCCATAAAATATTGGACAATTTTCATAAGTTCAGACATGAGATAATGCACCACACAGTAAAGGCATTTTGCGAAGTGTCTTTCCACCTTCCTTTTGCCGCTTCTTGACTTTGTGTACCACATAGCAGCTCTGAGCCAAGGTTGAGACTCTGGAGTTTAAGTGGCTCCCTTGTAACTGATGGCCCAGTTTGCTCAGCTCCAGCTCTTGCCTGCTGAGAGATCTCACCTGCTCTGTCAGGGACTGTAAACATACTCCCAGGACACTGAAGTAACTTGGAAGAACAATGTTTGGGGCCAATGGCTCTTTGGCTTTCTGTTAAATGAAAGACTTCTTAATATTTGATTTCATTGAGAAATAACATTCACATTTCATGACTCTACAATGGTATAAGTTATACAGTCTCAGGAAAAGCACTGCTTTAGAGAAGGCATGGTTTATGTCATTAGGGGACTGAAAAGTTTATTTCTTCTATAAAAGAGTTTTATGTATCTTATCCCTAATTAAAAGAGAGGCATCTTCAGAAGGGTCCATATCCATCCCCTCGGGCAGTCACAGCAAAAGTGGGGTAGACCTCATAGGTTGCATATGCTGCTAAGTCTTGTCCAAGGGTCACTGCTTGCTTGAGCTGAGCTGCAGAGATGGGTGCAGTTGCACTGGGGACAGCATATCCTGGAGGAGGAGGCAGAGAAAACTTCATGCAAGGAATTCAAGTTTGCTTCCTTTGGCATATCGTCTTCTTTTAGGAATACGAAAATTTAATATATCACTTTAAGCTAAAAGCAAATATATATATATATATTGTCTTAGGGAACACAAGAAGAGGACTCAGTGATTTTTAAATGGCACCTGAAAATTCTAGGACAGTGATCCTGAAAGTGAAACACTTTTGTGTTACTCATGTCAGAATCACATCACACTTAGAAGATTAGAGACACTGGGGACAAGTTCCAAGAAACTGAAATGTAACTGTCTGCTGAGTTGAAAAAATTTGCAATTCCAAATATTTACAGAGGATCTCAGAATTTATAAAGGAGGGAGGGCCATTGAGGGTTTAGCAGGGCATGGGGCTGGAGGGACTGTGAGAGTCTGGTTCTGCTACAAACCTACACCTCCTTAAAACCCCTCTTCTGCCTAAATGAAACATTAAAAACCATTACCTTCACCCAAGAAGATATATAGAGACCGGGTAAAACAGTAGGGGAAATACTGTTAAGTTTTAGAGTGTTTCTACATAATGCCATAAAAGCAAATGCCTGCCCCGTCCAGATTTAGATTAACCATGAATGCCAAAAGCTCCTTTTTCTGTTTGCCATAAAGCCTATCCATGATATATTCAGAGGCTTTAATACTCATCCTCACTCAGAGAACCAAAGTGTTTTAACAGTAATGAAATCAACCATATACTTTCATCTTAGTATTATGTCTCGCTGCCGGACATTCACTTGTGAAGAAGAAAGCATAGTAGTTACTATCAAAAGTGATGTATCTTTGTTAATGTTTTAGACCAAAACCTGGGCATTTCTAAGATGATTCAAAGATTGTGAAATATGTAAAAGGGAGAGGTATTCTTAAGGAACAAGTGAGGATCTGATTTGTTTAAAATAAAATCCCATTGGTTTATTTGTAGTGGAAGTCAGCCCAACCTCAGAAAAGTGATTTATTTTCTGGTGGCTTCTCAGGAAGTGGCAGCAGGAAGCTAGCTGGACTGTTTTTAAAAAATTGAAAGCACACCTTGGTTGTTCACATTGGCCAATAGTGTTGACTAACACACAAGTAAAGTTTGGTATATTTCCTAAGATATGAGAAATGTGTTAACAATTACTTTCATAATTTTGAAAATGGTGTTTCTAAAGTAAGTAATATAAACATGTGACTGTGTGTGTATAGCATAGATTTTGTCTTTAGAGTTTTGGGGTTTTATTTTTCAGTTTGGTTAATTTCTTAAGTGTAAGGGTATTTGTGTTTCAGAGTCTTCCTTTGGTGTGTATTACTCTTTGTTTGAGTCTACAGAAAGTTATGAGAGGCTCTCACATTCTTAGGCATTCATTCCCAAGACAATTCTCATGCCCAAAATATTTTAACTTCTTGTAGGAGCAAATAGAAAGAAAGATAAAGTTTAAAAAAAATTGGGTAAAACCGTATCCTTTTGACTATGAAAACAAAGTTTAAAATTCTCTGACAGTGGCTCATTTATTTTTATAGTACATTAGTTAGATTTCTTGGGATGCAGCTTTCTGCAAGGCAGGGGCTCGACTTTCTCCAGGACTTGAGTAGCTTTGGCATGCATAAGTCTCGAGTAGATGGAGATGGAAACACCTTGTATGCAGAGAGGCTGATTGCTCACCATGGCCAGCAAGGACCTCTCTCTCTGCAGGGCCCATGGTTTCCTTGGTAACCTCACAAGGACTCACTGCAGAGCATCTCTATGTTCTTACAGAGAAACAATGCTAGAATTGAGGTCACATTTGTGTGTGAAGAATTATTGGTTTTAGCCTCCTTTGCCAGAATCAAAGGCATATTTCCAATTTCGGAGAGATAAAAGAAAATGAGAATGAGCCTCAAGTGTTTTGGATGTCAGGAATATATGTGAGCAATATGGAATTCTCACACCTACACGTAGCATGATGTATAATTTAATAGGAATGCTATTATTCTAGGTCTAGTGAAAACTCTCTAATTTGGGGATATGGAGGGCATGCTGACACAATGACAAGCTGGAATGACAAATTTCTTTAAAAGAAATTAAATTTTATTGCAAATGGGAATAGAGCCACTCTGACTGCCTTAATCTCTAGAGGATCTTTTCAATGATTAGCACTTGTGGTGGGTACATCATATATGAGGAAATCTTTTAAATAGACTTTACATTCAGCAATCAGTATAGGCCCCGGGCAAAATGAGAGAACAGATAAATTGAGCCTATTCACATTTTGAAAAAATCTGTCTGTCACTCGCACACATACAATTTTTCACTGAAAATAATTTTCACAAGTTCATCACGTCTTTATCAGAAAGCAAATTAATAAAAGTTGATTGAAGATTGAAAACAGGGAGGGAACTCAAGGGTTTGTAAAAGCTGATGACACTGGTGAAATTACTTAATCTTTCCAGTATTTGGTTTCTTCATCTGTATATGGGCATTATGATCTGATCTAACTCTTAGTGGTGTCATGAGCATTTCTGAGAAAATATAAATCTTGTCCAACATTTGGGTAAGTGCCTTGCTTATTGTAAGGGCTCCAATAAATAACACTTATTAATAGTCTCTCACTACTAATAAAATCCAAACCAGCCAAAAATCAGAGCAATTGACTCATTCAAGATCTGCTTATAGCTGAGGTGACATAGAAACCAACTGCTGCTGTCCTGCTCAATTTTCTGCCACATGCTTGAATGGACCACTCAACTGGCAAATTCTTTCTGGTCCCCAGGTGGTGCAAGTGAATTTAGGTAGGTGGGATTCACAAGCAGTTCTATGAGTACTTGGTACCAAGAAAGTCTTCCCAAACATCTGGCACAATTTTTCCATACCTGGGAAAATAGTAGCAGAAGTGGCAGCAGTAGCTGCAGTCCCAGCATCCCCTCCATCAGCGGGGATGCCCAAAGTCTGCAGGGTGTACTCAGCTGCGTATGTCTTTGCTTCATCCACATAGGCACTCAGTTTTGGAGGTGTAAAAGGGTGGCTGGAAAGCATAGTTATCCAGGTTAGGCATTTTAAATTCAGGGTGTACTGAATTAAATGAAAATCTAAGATACTGCTGAGATGACTGGATGATGGGATTTTTGCATGGGTATTTTCCATTCGCTGTGTTGTTAAAGGCTTCTAAATAAATACATATGCACATAAGAATGTTTATGAATTCTTCTAGAACAATGGTGGTGAACATATGGCAGGCTTGCTGTAGCAGACACACAGAGCCCTCTCTGTTGGCACAGGAGCCAAGCATAATAGTTGTTTTTCTAAACTAAAACTCAATATTGAAGTTTAATGGCAGTGTTGGCACTTTGTGATAAATAAGGAGCTTTGGGGTTGCAGTTTGGGCACTTGGTCTCTAAAAGTTTCTCCGTCACTGACCTAGAACACATGTAGTTGATTACATTTTTGGGCCATACTTGTATCTTACTACATGGCTTTCCTAAGGTACATGTGAAATACAGTGGTCCTAAGACATATATGAAGGTAGGCTCAAAGCAAAAGTCAGAAAGTAATATGCACTAACAGAAAGGTCACAACTTTGGTCCTAAATTTTAAATGGGGGTCATGAATTTATGTATAAAAATGGCAATTGCACATGGTTCAACCTAAATATTGTGCAGATAAAGGAATTGGCTGTAGTCTCATAGCTATCACATTTTATCTTACCTGCTTTTTTTTATTGGTTGATTATACTACAGTCTTCATTTTCTATCTGAAATCTGGGGCTTTAGATGTTTGTCTTATAGGTGGCACATACATGCCACCTACACACCTCAATGTTGTATTTAATGACAAATGAATAGCTAAGAAACCTGAATATTTTTATTGTTTAGATAATGACAAAATACACTTAATTTACAACTGAATATTTATCTGACACATAAATGATTAGGAATTTGGAGAGTTACTCACATTGCAGGATTCTGGCTGGCCAGAGCAGGAATAGTTATTTTGTATAAGAATAATTGTCTTTGGTCTTGTCCAATGGCAGAATGTAGCTGGTACACTGGCTGTCCCCAGTTATTTTTCTGACAAATTTCTTCTAATATCTATAAGAATAAAAAAATTACTTCTTTCTCAAAAGTCACTTTTACATTATTTCTCTAATTTTCAGATTTTAAACTCTGATCTTTAGAGTTTAAACTAATCTGAGAAGATAAAAAATGCCATATGGTTTAATGACTCATAAAATTTAAGTTGAACTGAATTTGAACTCCATTTAAAAAGTTATATCTATTAATTCATGAAATAATTTTCACACCATTTATTTGGATATATTTTTAGTTTAGTCCATTAGCTATAAATTTTTACTAAGAGCTTCATTTCATTATTTGTTTGATATTTTTGCCCCAATTAAAAAAAAGATCCTCCAGCATGTTTGGATAGATTTACTTATTATTACCCAAAGCCCTCTGTTTATAATGGTTTAGAGGAGATAACCTAAGAATATATTTTTATTTCATGTCATTTATCATGGGGTTTAAATCTTACATTTTCAAAAAAGTTAGAAGTTTATATGGTTCAATATTTGTGGATAAACATTAATAGATGAATATTGATTGCTGTAATATTTTTTTGCTTGGCAAAATACCTCTTCTGGCTATTTTTTTCCTTAAATTCTTTTACTGGTACATTTTAGGTATACAATATGTTTACATTTATCATGGGTGCTTGTATCTGTAGATGATGTATCTTGGTTCTTATTTTTTCCCCATTATCTGTGCGTCCTTCACCCCCTCCACCCTTCCCTATTTACATAGATTTTGTTTCAATTTTTTTTCTTTTCTCATAATTTTTCCTTTCCCTTTCCCCTCTCACCACCCCTACCCCTTTGGACCTTTTCTTCCTATTTCAAATTATCAATTATTCATTTTAATCATTTTAATCCTTATTTGCATTTCCAGTTTCTCACACTACAGAAACTATTCAGTATTTACACGTGTGTCCTATTTATTTCACTTAAGAGTATGGCCTCAGTATGCATCCATTTATCTATAAATGTCTCTAGTTTCTCGTTCTTTATGGCTGAGAAGTATTCCATTTTATTAAAAAAAAGCCATATCTTCTTTATCCAATTTCCAGTTGATGGGCACTTGGGCTGTTTCCAAGTTTTAGCTATTACAAACTGTGCTGCTATAAACATGGGTGCACATATATCGCTGTGGTGTGATTCTTTTAATTCTTTTGGGAAGATACCCACCAGGGGAATAGCTGGGTCAAATGGGACCTCTAGTCTTAGTTCTTTGAGGTATCTCCATACAGATTTCCACAGTGGTTGCACCAGTCTGCACTCCCACCAATAATGGAGAAGGGTTCCTTTCTCCCCACACCCCCGCCAGCATGTTATTGGTTGCTTTCTTGATAGCAGCCATTCTTTCTGGGGTGAGGTGGAATCTCAATGTTGTTTTCATTTGCATCTTTCAAATGACCAGTGATGTTGAACATTTTTTTATATATTTATTTGCTGCTTTTACTTCTTTGTCTGAGAAATGTCTGTTCATTTCAGATGCCCATTTTTGAATTGGGTCTTTAAATTTGGGGGGGGTCTGATTTTTTTCAATTCTTTATATATTCTAGATAGTAGTCTTTTGTCTAAGGTACAGCTGCTAAAATTTTTTTCCTACATTGTAGGTTGTCTCTTAGCACTTCTGGCTATTTTTATGATGATCTTTGTTTTAGTATTTTTTTGCATTTTTCTTCTACAATTGCTCCAAATTGAATCTTTTCTAAAGGCTCATTTTTTCTTCATTGGGGAGCCAATTTTGTTGATGCAGACATCTTGATGTTCTTTTTACTCAGGAGATTTAGTATACTGTGCAAAACAGGGCCAAGTCTGAGAAAATAACTCCAGGAGACAGAACAGTGCCTCAGGATGTGTCTCTGGAAGATCTTACCTCATTTGTTTTAACACTAATCCAGCTGCATGACATGACATTGTTCAGTTTATTAATTTGTAGATTTTTCTTATTTTCTTTAACTCTTTCCTTAATGGTATTATAGCTTTTCTTGTCATCTACAAAGCCTTTTCCAAGATTCTTGAGCAAGAATAAATTAGCTTTTGCTGGTGAATAGTCTGCCTGCTCATTCCAGGTAAGCAAATCTGCTCAAAGAGCAAACTCCACTTGCCAGCCTGAAGGGCAGTGTCTGTCCATCTGCTCTTCTGGTTGGAGGTTTGTAACTCTGCTGCAGGGCTGTTTCTCCATTTATGTCTAATAGGGTGGCATTGTCTTCAATTTCTCAACCACAGTTGTACACATTTAGAGACAAATTCATTAAAGAACTTTCATTAGGTGACCCATAGTTACTCACAGATTAATATAAAACACGATCAATTTCTAACCTGAGTTTAATGTAAAAAGCAGAGCTATTTGCTCTTGCTATAGTAGCTCTCAAATACATGCAGAATTTATGGTTATTGTTTTAGAGAGTTTTCTTAAAAGATTTCTAGCTATCCCAGTAAAAGTACTAGGATAACTATGTTTTTTATTTTAGGTCTTAACCCAAGAGAAGTAGAGGAGTAGGTTTTGTATTTTCTCAGCAAGTTCCATCATGTCACTTATCTGATTTCATTTTAATTATCTGTTATGTGTCAGTATTATGCCAGTGGATTGCCTTTGATGGAAAAGATTTTGTTATATTCATTTTTAAAGTTCCAGCACCTAACACAATACATGCTGCATAAGCAAAGTCCGATAAATGTATTTTAAACAAATGAGTGCTGTTTACCACTCTGATAGGCACTCTTGTTTTAGTGACCTGATAGGCTTAGCCGAAACCATACACGAATTAATTTGTGCATAAAAGAAATATATTAATTTCTCCCACCCCCAACACACATCAATAGCCAAGATGAGCTCTTAGAAAACCAAGTTTTCTTCTTGATTGTACTCATAAGGGCTATTTCCATAAAATTGTCCTGGGCCTATACATTTGGTCTGGGTGTAAGGAGCTTTCTTTCAGAGCACACAAACTGTAAGTCTTGGTATTTAGTCAAGGTGTATCTCAGAGAGCTCATCATATGCTAAGGGTTAGCATGAATCATGTTTTACTTTACTTTTAACCCTGGTATTTAGTTTCTATACTGTGATAACTTTTATAACTTTTAAGTTTCCTATAATAAAAGATATAGTCTCATGCAGACATGGAAACCTAGAAGTGTTAAATGAAAGCAATAAAAATTCACCATAATGCCGCTGCCCAAATATGACCATGGTAAAAGACTTAATTTGGTACCACTGATGGCACCTTATAGTTAATAATTCACCTAGATAGCATGCTGGAGCTTTCTCTTAAACACATTTTCCCAAGAAAAGGTGTCCTAAATGGTCTATTTAGGATTCCCTGTCATGAATACCTTTCATTTGGCAATCAACCTGTCTCACACACAATCAGCATCTATTCTGAGCTGGTTTACATGATGCAACATGCATTCTACTAGGTTTTGGAACTTTGAGCTGCAGTCTTTTTCTTATATTTGTTGAGGTATTGGCTGATCATTTGTAGTAGATCTTAGATTATTCGCATTTTAGTGAAAAATTTAGTGGAAGATTAAAGTTTTAAACACTATGATTAAAAAAAAGGGCCCTGTAATGGAAAAATGGCACTTAATACCTATCATTCCCCCAAAGGATATTACATTGATAGGCCACTTAATGTTATTAAAAGAAAAAATAGCCCAAGTTAAGATCAATCCAATAATTTAATGGTAGATGAATGATGGTCTTTGGCCCAGCTTACAGAAACTATCTCTTGAATGACATTACCTACCTGTGGAGCTAATTTAATTCCTTGGGGTTTTAAAGTGACTGGATTCATTGGAGTGAGCTCCATCCCCGGTAAAAGGTCATAGAGTTTGTCTTCTCTCTTGTCTCCTTTGACCTGGTATCCACGACCTGGGCCTGTGTATGCCAAATAGCCACGGCCGCCCAGTCCTCTCACTCCCGCAGCCCCTACAGGTACATTCATGTAAATTTCTAGGAATGTAAGAAGGCATTAAACTGAATCAAACCACCAGAAAATCACCCTGAATCTTACTGTAATGGAAAAGTTAGCCCAAGTCACATTGATTACTACCCTGAAGAGGGGTAGAAAACTCTAGGATTCTAATGTAATGAAACTCAATATAAGGTAAGGCTCACTATATGTGTCTCTTTCTCATAAACTACCTGAAAGAAATACCATCCAAGCTCTTAACTATATGAGTAATTTAACAATTTTGGTACAGAGAGAAATTTTGCAATTTCCATTTGCAGGTAACATTTTGTTAAAGTTTTTCTGAAAACAAATCAAGGTAGGGAATATACTAATTAAAAGATCCCTGTATAATATGATGACTTGTACTGAAATCAGTCTTTACAGAGACTGTCAGTGATCAGTAAATCAGAAGTTGATTCTAGCTCATCCAATTATCCCACCCCTAATGGCTTATTGGAAAACCAACATTTAGAAAAGACGTTTTTAAGTTTACTATCCTTGTTCTTATGATCTGTCAAAGTGAGGCTTAAATTTCCATTGAGTTTCATGTTTAGATTCCTTCTGATTTTTGTTTACCATGTTGTTACTTTGATTTCCTAATGATGGCATAAAGTGATAAAAAATTAAATTGATTGCCCTTCATCCATAAATATTATCCATTGATTCTTTTCTTTTTATAAGTTACATATGTTTCCCTTAGAGTAGAGTTGTTTTCTTTTTTTCTACATCACAACTGGTTGATCACTTCATGTATTTACTGCTTATTGATATATTTTAGATTATTTTTGCATAATATTTCAATGACAATTTATTACCATATAAACAAGTTCTTCTGAAGGAAATCCGGATGATTTCTTTTACAGTATAAATTTTTTCAGGCATAATTACATTAGTGCTTGGAATTGTTAAGGCTGTGAAAAATAGAGGTCCCAAAATGGCCAATTCATGTTTACAAAAAACCAGCAAAACACAGTAAGATAATTGTTTTCACATAATCGGGATGTGCCATTTTGCTTCTCAGTCAAACCCGAGAATAGATTTGAATACATGATTTGTTTGTTGATGTGCCCCATATTGGTGTCATATTTGAACAATGGGATTGTCATTCTGGTGGCATTAGCCACATCCTAGAACAATCACACTGAAGGATCCCATTGGCAGAGACAAACTAGTCTCTTGAAAATGTTTTTAAAAGCTTTATTTATCTCCTATATTGTTTGAATGAACTGAGCTCAGAAAACTGAACATTTGGAATTTTTATAGGATTCAAACATGAAATAGTTATGATCTGACAGACTGAGCTTATTTTAGTTTCCTATGTACTACAGAAATAAATAGATTTTCTTAATGGTTTAGCTTTTTAGAAGTTATACCACATTTTTAATGTATTTATAATAATTTGTGGTTTATGTGTAAAGATATTGTCACTAAGTCACCATCAAATACATAGGTGACTTAAGATGTTTTTGTTGTTTGAGGTGATTTGTTTCCATCGGATCATACTACTTTCCCTTTCAGAAGTTTTATAAAAAGTTACATGTTACTGCAAGATGGTGGTCTAATGATAAAGAAGCAGCTAATAAGTATGCCACTAGGTTTTGGTTTGGGCAAATTTTATGCTTCTTTGCAAACATCAGATTTTTACATTGGGTTCTGTTACACTTAAGATGTGACCAAGCTTTTGTCTATAACCAGTTGTGATGTGAAAAAAGATTCGTATGGAATAAGAACTATTGATATCATATTTGATTTTTAATAAACAATTTTCCAGTCCTTTTCTTCCAATCCTTAGGCCAATCTGATTTGTCTAATGTTATTGCCCTATAAATCGTTTGAAATCTTGGGGTTACTCAGTGGCAAGAGTTGACTGATGTTACCTCTAACAGAAGGGGCTCTGATAATGGCCCTGTTGCTTAGGTGTCCTTTAGTGGCTGGGAAATGAAGATTAGGAATCGCTGCATAGGCTTGGGGGGCATAGAAGACAGGAGCTCCAAGGTAGGTTGTGGTGGGATCATACACATGGCCCAAAGAGTAGGTATATTCTCCTTGCAGCATTGTTCCTCTTCCACCTGTGCCTCTGGTGTACCTAACATAACTGTCCTTGTCCACTGGTTTGGCCAAGGTCACTTCAATGGGGGAACCATCCAGCACCTGTTGTGGAGAAAAAGGAAAAAACAACATAAAAAGATATTAGGATAGTTAAGTGTGGCTGAGCCCTAATAATGTCTCCTTCTTAGTGTTTGACTATTTGCTGTGTGTTTAGTGAATGTTTCAATTACTCCCATCTTGTCTTTTTATAGGTTCGTGTTTGACTGCCACCTAGTTTTCCTCTGAGTGATTTTTGTTGGTAAGCCACACAAGATGCCAGCAGGTTTGACAATGATATATTGTCCATTGATATATTGGTTATGAATTTATAATCTAGATACAGTCACTGAAGGAAAAATTTATCCAATATTGTCTATTATGTGATATATGTTTTAAGTTACAAATTTATATAAGAACTCTTAGGCTTATTATGAGAGAAATATGATTTTCACTACTAGAAAAATAAAATACAGGTGAAGGAACTTAATGAAGGAATCATATGATCTGATGTAAAGTTGGGAGCTAATAAACAGGGGTGACAAGGGATTGGGATAAAGGGGGCAGGAGTGATACTGAGAATTCTCCAGTCATGCACTATTGAAACCACATTCTCAAAAATTACTGTAGTAATTCATTCTGTAATTGCAAATAGCTCCAGATGTTGAACATCATGACTGTATATGTCTACATGCATAACTGACTCCTATATTCCATTTGCTTACTCAAGAAACAAAGAAGGTTTTCAACAAATATTTGAGAGATTGATTTATTTTGTTACTAAAGGGACAAAGTGTTGTCAGAAAGCATTTATGGTTTCCTTTGAATGAAAAAAGATGGATCTCTATTTTATGTAAAGAAAGCAAATAGTATAAAATGTTTCCGTAAAAATTCCCTTTCACAGCAGCTGAATGTGTACCCTTAGCCCTCAATTTCATGTGTGACTCAGTAGTTGTTGGATGATTGAAGTCTGCTGGACAAAGCTGGTGTTTCATGGTCATCCTGGCCATTCTGGTCAGTGTCTGGAGCAATCTGTCCCTAGTTTCATGTGGACACCTTACTTTTTAGTAGTAGTAGCCAGTGTCAAATACAGTAGATGAAACACGCTGAAAGATGGATACAATCGATATTCAACAATCTAATATTGATATAATATTGATATAATTAGAAGAAAGAGACTTGGAATATTGAAAGAAGGAAGTGACCTTGAATATGTTTCTTTCTATTTTTAGTTCTGTCTTAAGGAAAATGAGGTGCTCACATAGATCTCTGCTTATAGGCACTTCCACATCAGGACATGTTTTGAATGGAATGATTCTTTACTGCCAAGTGAGATTTCTTATTGTAATATATTTTGTTCTGCACTTCTCTGCCCACTTCAACAGAATTTCAAACACCTACAACTGAATTCTAGACAAAGCACTGTATTTTAGTTATTTAGTTTAAACATTTCAAGAGATAAGACAATATCATATTGATCTCTATAGCTAAAGCCCAGAAAAATTTCTTTCACATCATAGATATCCACAAATATTTCTAAAACAAATGAATTATCATGTCCTAACTTCAATTTATAACGTTTCTCTCCCAATAGGCTTCCCTTTCTGAGTCTGGTATCGGTCTCCCATTTCTTCCATTTGGAAAATTTATAATGATTTCTCCTGTGTCACCCCTATCTTCAGTCAGTTTCTGGACCCTTTGAGCTCATTTTCTGTAGTTCTGTGTAGATCTCTCTTTTATATTCCATTCCCACATTAGTTTAAGTCCTTATTTGGGTGACTGTAATAGCTTCATAGCTAGTTTCCTTACATCTCTCTCCACTCAGTAAGAAGTCACCTCTTACTAGGTTAATTTTCCTAAATTGTAAATATGATCATTATGTCACAAAAAACTTTGAAGTCTCATATTGTCTAATGAATTAAATATAAATATGTACAAGTATACAAAATATAAAAGTATACAGATCCTAAGAAAACCTATTTTTGCATACCACATTATAGTTAAATATAATATTTAGTATGTATTTGCTATTAATATTAAATATATTTAACTACATTATGTGTGAACATTGCTATAAAATATCTAGCTGCAAACACTGGGAATAATTTAAATACTTTTCTACTATAATTATTCCAGTGTAATTATTTAGCTTTTAATTTATAATTGGTTGTGTCTTCTCAGCAGTAATGCACACTCAGGACTGTTTCCAATTAGAGAAAAGCTAACTTACAAATTATTTTCAAAATAATAACATTTTTACAACACTAATTGTGATAATCAATGAAGAAGAAATAGTATTTTGTTTCATAGGCATGCACTTAAATATGCATTAATTTTTACTTTGTGGTTTTCTTTTGTATTTCAGAGCCATTCCCACAACCTAAGAGTCAAACAGTTTTGAAGACCTCCAAGGAGTGCGTACATCCCAGAAACCACTAAAGGACCTGGGTTGGGAGGTCCTCCTTTTATGCTTCAGATCTACTCCACACCAATCTCTAGCCTGCCCTCTGCTTTGGGAAGCTACTGTACTTGGAATCCTCTTTATAGCTTCCAGCCTTTCTGCATTATGATTGGATTTGGCCAATGAGGAACCCTGTCAGGAGGACACAAAGAGAGATAACAGTGACTTTGAGGCATTTATCCTCTGGTCTCCCTCTCTAAGAGATCACTTCGGGTCAGCCCTATCCCTCTACCAAAAATAACTACTCCTTTTGTAACACTAGCCCTCCATGATTCTCTCCCCTTTCAGAATTTCTATTAATTCTCCAGCCCCTGTGCTTTTGACTCCAGGAGTGTTATGAGCCCTAGGTTTCCGTAATATCTCTTTTGATTCCTCTACTTCCCACTCATACATCTGTAATTAATTCCTTTGTTATCTGTTTTCTGTTGGGATTTGGACTTATGCAAAGATCAATGGGTAAAACAACTAGGTGTGAACTATATTTTAAACAAATTGCTCTATATTTTACCCGTCTCCAATTTGGTGTTGTTCTTCTCAATTCTGGCCTTTAAGACTGATTCTGGTTTTCATTTTTTGTCTTTTGAAATTATACTCTTGAAATCATACCCAATTACCAAATATCTTTCTCTTACATATTATCTTCTCATATTCATGAAGAGTTTCTGATTTTTAAAATTAATTTTATTGGTACATTTTAGGTGTACAATATAATGACATTCATCATTGGAAATTTGTACCTTTACATAATATATCTTGGTTCTTCTTTTTTTCCCCTTCCCCTGCCCTTCCTTCAACCCCTCCATCCCACCCTATTTACAAAAACTTTGTTCCCATTTTTTCATTTTCTCATATTAATTCCATTCCCTTCTTTCCTTTCCCCTACCCCTCCCACTTCCCCTTCCCCTTTGACCCTTTTCTTCCTATTTCACATTACCTATTATACATTTTAGTCCTTATTTACACTTTCAGTTTCTCACACCAGAGAAACTATTCTTTATTTATACATGTGTGTCCTATTTATTTCACTTAAGAGTATCGCCTCAATGTGCATCCACTTAGCTATAAATGTCTCTAATTTCTCATTTTTTATGGCTGAGTAGTACTCCATTTAATCCCCCCCCCCCCATTTTCTTTACCCAGTCTCCAGTTGATGAGCAGTTGGGCTGTTTCCAAGATTTAGCTATTACAAATTGTGCTGCTATGAACATTGGTGCATATATATCACTGTGGTATGATTCTTTTAATTCTTTTGGGAAGATACCCAGCAGGGGAACAGCTGGGTCAAATGGGAATTCCAGCCTTAGTTCTTTGAGGTATCTCCATACTGATTTCCACAGTGGTTGCACCAGTCTGCACTCACACCAGCAGTGGAGAAGGGTTCCTTTTTCCCAACAGCCCCGCCAGCATTTGTTATTGGTTGATTTCATGATAGCAGCCATTCTTTCTGGGGTGAAGTGGAATCTCAGAGTTGTTTTCATTTGCATCTCTGGAATGACCAGTGATGTCGAACAGTTTTTCATATGTTTATTTGCTATTTCTACTTCTTTGAAGAGTTTCTGATTTTTGATAACTTACTTCTTTTTGTGAAATTTCATACTACTTTAAATCTCTTTTTTATGATATTATCTAACTGTACTTTGCACAGTTATTTGTATACATATTTGTTCAGGTGACTTTTAGATCTTTGATAAGCATGTTTGTTTTGATTTTGTGTGTGTGTGTCCTGGGCATTATTAGAAGATAAGTGGTTTACATAAGGTTTTCAGTGTTTATTAGATTGATGTATATATTATATCAGTTTCTCTAGAACACTCTAGATACTACTCTTATAAGCTGAGAGATCCTAAGCCTCCCACAGGTGGAAGATCAAATTCTGAGGGCAGAATGACAGCTATCTTGACATTTTTCTGACCACAGCCCCTTAAAATACACAGTACAGAAATAAGAGAAGTTGAGGAAGATCACCTTGAAATATTCGACTTTAAACCTTCTTCCTAAGAAAATGGAGGACCAGTAACTTGTTCAAATCAGAAAAACACTAGAGGTAGATTTGGATATAGTAGCTACATCTCCATTCTTTATTGTGTTTCCCATCATTTTAAATGACTGCAACAACTATGTCAGAGATGGGGAAAGCTGCGGTGTGATGGACTCAGCAATGCTTCTTTGAATAGAATATCCACACTGAACTTTGATAAAATCTGTGTATTTTTTTCTTTATCCTATATTACCTTTCCATTTAAAGCTTTCATAGCCTCAACTGCATCTTCTCGTTTACTGAAGTGCACAAAGGCATAGTCCCGGATTTTCTTCACTCTTTCCACAGCACCTGTAAATGGAGTGAAAGTAGTATTGTTAGCAAATTTGAGACAGCACTGAAAATGATGCAGTCAGCTTCCTTGACTGTAAGTCAAGATCCTATCAAGATTTTCATGTGTCCAGGTTTAAAATTCTATATATTGCACAAAAGATTTTGTTTATAATTTAAAAAATAAGTCTGACTTGTTATAATTAGTTATAAATCTGTTTTCTACTTTATAGATTATACAGTCTTGAACAATTTTAAAATTGTCTATTTATTTATTATTAGCACATATTTGCGGTACGTGATGAATATATTCATTGTGGGTAGCTGGTACATGTACATGAGCATTAAGTATAAGAATAGCATTTTACTTTTCATGTTATGTAATGTAAAAGATAATGCCCGGTAAAATATTGTTGAATTCAGTTGAACTCAATATTGGCCATCTCATAAGTCTATATTTAGATGCTTACTTTTTTATGCCCCTCACCAGAAGTATATCTGATCTCTTTCATCTCTTATAATAGAATTTTAGAGTTAGAAGAGATTTTAGCAGTGATTCACTTTCATTTTTCTTCAATTACTTTTACTTAATTATTAGGAAACTAATTCTGAAAAGATAAGTGACATTTATAGTCCACATAGCTGGGATCCAAAACCAGATGTCTTATATCCTATCCAATACTCTTTAAATAAAAAGGTAAGAAAGATAGGGCTGGGGATTTAGCTCAGTGGTTTTGCTGTCTGCTGCATAAGCACAAGGACGCGGGTTCAATCCCCGGTACCAAAAAAACAAAAAAGTAAGAAAGTTGTTTATGGAAGAATCTCTGAGAGCAAAGATTTTCTCCCATGCTATCATGATATCTAAAGGTTAAAAATATCATAGATATTTACTAATTTTATTCGAAGGAATGTTTTATGCAAAAGTACTTATGTATATACAAAGACTGTGCATACAGATATAAATTATACTCACTATTAAAATAGCAAACATAAAGCAATTCAATGTCCATTTTCATGGGAACAATTAAGTCTGGTAAATTTATATCAATACAAAAGAATCTTTAAAGAGAACAGAGTAAACCTCTGGATGGAAAGATTCAAGACTTATTGTTTGGTTTTAAAAGTTAGAAAATGAGATTATAGAATTATGTTTTAAAAATACCAACCCATATATATGTATATACATGTAGAAATATACACGTGAAGAAAGAGAACTGGAAAGATAGAAACCAAACCATTCATAATAAGGGTTACTTTCAGGAGTGGTAGGAAAAATTGAAGAGAATAAAAGAGACCTTCATATTTTAATTGGTATACTTCGGTATTTGACAAATATTTGCCAAGTTTATCTAGATTGTTGTGTAAAAGTAAAACAAACTAACCTAGCCTATTTTTAGGTAGAGGAATTATTGTGCATACTTATGGCAACATGTAAACATAAAAATAGTAGTTGTGCCAGGATATTTTAATATTCTATTTAAAAAATATTGTTTCTTACTCATTTTTAAAAACAGACTTTTGTGCAGAGCGAAGGTAAGATGGAAACTGTTTAATCACCAACATGGAAATTATCCATTTTTTAAAAATTAAATTCTTTTATTGGTACATTGTAGGTACACAACACAATTACATTTCTCATTGGGAATTGTATCTTTACATAATGCATCTTGGTTCTTATTTTTTTCCCATTTCTAGCCCTCCCTTCACACCCTCCACCCTTCCCTATTTACAAAGAGTTTATTTTCATTTTTTCCATTTCTAATCATTTGTCCTTTCCCTTCTTTCCTTTCCCCTGCCCCTCCCACTACCTCTACCCCTTTGGACTTTTTCTTCCTATTTT